TTCTTTTCAGAGCTCCAGGTGATGGCCACTTTTCTGGTTTCTTCTGCACCAGAATGCTTGTAGACATGTCTGAGTGGGGGCAATGTTTGTTTAGTAGGAGTGAGCCCCAGACTGGAGTAAGGTTCATGCTGACAACATACATTTTAGATACTTGTCTAGATCTGAAAGCACATCTGTGACCAGGTTTTTCATGTTTTGACTTATTTCTATCTTCAGAAAATTAAGAGCTCTGAAATAAGGTGTATTTCACAGTAGTGAGAATGTGAAATGAATAGTGAAATCAAGTCCAAGTTTAACTGTATATTTATTGTAAAAATGAGATTTTAGACAGAGTGCCATTGTCTGCTGTACAATTCCTGCCAGCTAAAGATGGGATAATAACTGATAAGTTTTTTGCAGCATGTCGTTAGATGAAGAAATCAATAATTACTAATTTCTTCTTAAAGCTGGGCATCTACCATCAGGAACAGAATATCTGCACAAAGCCAGACTTGTTTTTTGTGCTAAATGCTCACCTTTACAGCTAGGGAAATAGGTTGCACCTAATTCTGTAGGATGGTGGCAGCTTTTTCTCACCCTCTGATTCCTGTGACTGTCATAAAGTGAAGAAAGCCATCTGCACAGCTCTGTTCAACAGTGTATTATGTGTGGAGCAGGACTGAGTATGCTGGATTAGTTCACAGAGAGTTGATAATAAATGAGGGAAGGGAGACTGACTCCCAGCTGAATAGTTTATTGCTGGGGCCCATGTTTTTCATCCACAAGAACAGGAGATTGCTGGCTTTAGTTACACTTCTAGTAGATGAATTATACACTTGGTGGCAGCTCTCATTTTACATGTAATAATTGATACTTTGCTGCTTACTCACAAGTGCATGTAATAGCAGAGATCTACCTGAAAATCCAGAGAAAGAAAGAAGTCTCTCATCTTAGGCAAACCTTATATGCATTCAGTGCTGCGATGCTTTTGCTGCATAGAATTTTAGTGTATTCTTACTTTTCTGCTGATTTCCTGGATGCAGATTAATTGCAGACTTTCTTGCCCAATCGTTGGGTTCTGCAGCTTTTCCAGCTCCATGAGCTTGTGGGAAATTTCAGCTTCTGGTGCAAGATGGAGCAATTTTAGGAGAGCGGCCCCCTTGAGGGGAGCACAACAGTGAGCAGGAAAGAGGTCTCCACAAGTGCAAAACCTGCCACAGTTACATCAGTTGGTTCCTCATCCTTGAGAGGGTCATTACATGTGTATCTGGGCCTGTGCCTGTATGCATATGTACACGTGGCAGGTGAATGTTTTTACAAACATGCTTTTCACTTACTGTTGAATGCTTAGGTCTCTCTCAAGACTCTTGAAAACAGTATCAAATTCTTAGAAACCCATCATCTGACCCTTTCTTTTGGAATATTTATTAGTGTACAGCGGCTGCACACTTACTGCAAGTGTTAGGTGTAACAGCAGCCGTAGGTAACTATTACTAGTGTGCAGTCCTACTGTCTTTAAAACACCAGGGTAATTATCTATTTTCATCTTTGTTTGATTGCAATTACACTCAAATACGAACATCACCTAACGAGCTTTGTAAAAAGTAAAGGCTGTGCCACTATTATATAGGGCAGTTCCATATCTAAGTGGTGATATTCTTCCTGCATTAGCATAATTACATTTTGAGCAGTATTGGCTAGAGAAAGAGTTTGCTTTATTGCACCCCTCAGAGGAATGTGTGTCAGGGAGTAGAAGCGAGTGGAAAAAGTCTGTCTGGCAGCAGGCAGCGTGCTGTGGCGTATTGCGTTTCGCTGACATGAGAGGAATGTGGCAGTGAGGTCTACAGTTGCCTGCTGTAGGCACTAGCACTCAGGCTGAAAAGCAGCTTGGGTTGTGCCTTTTGCTTCATTAAGCAAAAGGCTTTATGCCTGTGGCAGGAAATTCTATAAAACAGTGAAGTATTATACTGTATGTTATTCGACAGGATTGCCAGGCTCAAAATTCTAAAATCACAAGTCAGATATTTCAACATAAAATCTGTCTAGAAAGAAGAGATAAGTTTTTTAAACTCTTTGTTTCCTTTTTACTTCTTAAGGCTCATTTATTTTTAAGTGAAAGCTAAGATCTTCACTGAAAGTTGAGATCCTCACCTGACTTCAGGGCTCTAAGAAAAACATCAAATTTAAAAAGACTCACAAAAAGGTCCCAAAAGTTCTTAACAGTGAGTCAGGCATCTTCTGTAGAAGCTGTATGATGGCATAAGCTTTGTCATTGTAAATAGGATCTAAAAACAGGGAATGCAGGCTAAGCTCCTGGCACTGGTAGTTTAGCTGGGCTTTGCTTAACTTTAATAAATGTCACTAACTTTGCTGGCTCACATTATTGAATGGCTGGCTAAAAAACCCAAACCACCACAGTCTCAAAAGCCTGTTTTGTGCGTGGGAGCCACAGTGAGGCGGTTTGTAGACCTTGCAGCCAGAGTTACCTACAGCTTATCGATGTCTGATGTAAATTCTGCACCCTCCCAGTTTCATCCTATGCATGTTTGGGTTGTCATACAATCACAGAATGGTTTTGGTTGGAAGGGACTTTAAATATCATCTAGTTCCAGCCCCTCTACATGGGGAGGGACACCTCCCGTTAGATCAGGATGCTCCAAGTCCTATCCAGCCTGGCCTTGAACACTTCCAGGGTTGGGGCATCCACAGCATCCCTGGGCAACCTGTTCCCATAGTAGGACCCCTGTTAACAAAAGCAAGGATGTCATGCTGAAGGATTCATTAATTGTGTCATCTGCATTTTCCCAAGAAGTGTCAGTGCTGCCCCCTTCCCTAAAAAGGAAGGTGTAAGGGATGATGATGTCCGAGGTTTATTCCCCAACTCTGCTTAAGCAGCAGGCTGTAGCTTTAGAATTTTAAACTGCTGCACTGTTAGCTAGCAGGGAAGGTGGAGCATTCATCTTTCTGGGTACTTCTGCAGTGCTGGAAAGGCAATGCCAAAGTGAAGGCATGGGCATTTTTAGGATCTTTTGTTCATTGTTCTTACTGACCTGCACTTCGGTCCCAAAGAAAACAAACTGCAAAGCCCATGCTTTGGAAAGACTAAGATCCAAGAAGTAGAATAATTGTATAGGATTTTAAATGTAAAATTCCTGTTTTCTCGTGAGTGCTCCTGTCCCTAGGTTAGACCGTCGGTAGGTGAGCTGTAAATCTGTTTCTGTTCCATCTGCCAGTCTTGAACTCAGTTGCATTCTTTTTCTGTTGTGTAACCCTAGAAGAAACAACAATTCTTGAAATAACATTTCAGCACCACAAACGCTTCTCATTTGACACTCTGACATTTGGTGTTGGCAGCTCCGCCTGCCTCTTCAAGCATGCTTGTGGCCATCAGCATTCAGCCAGTCCTTCCCTGCACAGCTCCTTCAGATGAAAATCACTTTTCCCTCAAGAGTGCTCTGAGCACCTGTTTAACATGGCTAAGCCTCAGGAACTCTGCCATGCAAATACAAACTTTTTCTTAGGTAACATTTAGAGCATCATTTTCATTGTTTTTAAGAATCCTGTTAGTTGCAAGGAAATTATAAATAATCCAGTGGTCTGGAACCACATTGTTCTGGTTTAGGGGGCTGTTGCCACTGCAGATGGTGGTTTAGGCCTTGGAGTTGTGTGTGATGTGCTTTTGTACTCCTGGATCAGCAGTTCACCTAGTGGTTCAATGTAACTGAAGCCCACTGAAGTCTGCAGGAGATACCATTCGGTTTGTAAGTACTTCCTCCACCTCCACTGGAAACATTTATAGTCAGAAGCAATGCCTTCAAATGTTGTACTTCTGTCATCTTGATAGGGAAAAAAATACAGATATAAAGAGGTTGTGGGCCTGAATTATTTATCTTTCAATCAAGAAGTATAAAAATAATGCAGGGTGAAAACAGGGAAGGGTTGTAAAGGAAGGCATTGGCTCTTTCAGTTTGAATAATGCAGGGCCCACTCAAGCTTTCTCTGCAAAACATGAAGTCTAGTACTGACACAAGTAAATACATGGGTTTTTTTCTAAAAAAGATTTTTAAATCATACAGCTCTGGAGAGTGCTCACTTAGCTTCAAGTGAATAATTAAACTGTGAAGAGTTGTGCCTTTTGTGCCTTTGATCCAGTGTGCTTTGTTTCTCTGATTGTTCTTGAAATAAAATTAGCTTTTCATCACTTAAAATCTGTTGGCTTTATCTGCTGCAAAATACACACGTGGTAGGTGCTGTGAGATAGGAAAAAAAATTAAAAATATAAAAGGTACTCCTTCTACGCTTGTAGTTTTGATAGGATTTGAGGTTTGTCAAAAGTCAGTAATCTGACTCTTACAGTATTTGGGATCACAGTGGATTTGGTGGATCAAGAACCTGCGAGGTATCTTCAAATCAAAGAAAAGGGTGAATAAGAAAAGAATGGAAGAAGGCACATAGCCTGGTTCTGAGTCCTGAGGCAGGACTAACAATACCCATGTTGTTCCTTTCAAACATTAGCCTAGTGCCTCTTAAAATTCTCTGCTAACAGAGATTCTGTCACTGAAGGAGAGTTTGGGCAGATTTTTTTCCTCTTAGAAATGTTTTCTTGATGGCCAAGCCCGGTGCCTGTGACTTTGTATTTAACTTGCTACCTTTGTGGGAAGAGTAGCATGATGCCAAGTTGAGAATGTGAAAGGGGATGGGGAGGGAAGTGCTTAGGCAGTGGGAGGAAGGTCATGGAGATGAAGGGCCTGGATGGAGACCCCCGAGAGGATTAGGATGAGAAAAAAGCATTACCCATCCAGGCTCTTTGTCATCATGTTTCCCTCTACTGATAGCTTGAACTTTCTGATAGTTTTAAAACCCTTTAGGCACATACTGAGTAAGAGCAAAGTCTGGAATCTAAGCACAACATCAGTGGTGGAGAAAATCTCTGGGTTCCATCTGTAGGACTAAAAAATAGTCATGTATTGAAACAAAGATGTGACTCTAATGCCCTTTTCCTGTGTTTTCTATCCTCACAGATGAACAGGAGCCAGCAGTCAGCAGTGATTCAGATATTTCATTGATTATGGCAATGGAAGTTGGACTGTCCGATGTGGAGCTTTCCACTGATCAAGACTGCGAAGAGGTGAAGTCTTGAAAAATAAACAGAGATCCAACACTAAACTACAGGGAAGGGTCAGAGGGAGGGACCGAGTCAGCTTTCTAGGATTTGGACCAGTCATGTACATGCCTCCAGAGCACTGTCACTCCTGCACACTCCATTCTGAGATGGTCACGAAAAGCAATAGCAACAGTTGTGTCTGCCTGGATGCAGTTTCATCATCTACATACGTTCGTTCTGTTCACATGGGAGAGGAAAGCTTCCAGTTTACCCACGTGCTTAAGAGCAGTCGTGTAGCTCTTCAGTGGCTCATAAATATGTAACTGAAACGACAGCTTGAGTGTTTTCTACACTTGTTCGATCAAGGTGTTGGGTTTTTTTAAAGACATATGTTTGTTTTGTTTGTTTGTTAATAGTTTGTTTTGGATGGACACTCTGTTTTTGCTGACTGACCCCAGCTTTTTCAAGAGTTCAATCCAGAAATCTGAATTCCCATTCACTGGTCACTTCATAGTCTGACTCCAGGATATATCATTGCCTTGTTGTTTCTGCATGTAATACACATGGCTTGAGAAGGATGGTGCACCAGCACCCTGCATTAATGTGGACCCTGCTTTCATGAAGTGGAAGCTTTGGAAATGGTGTATTATGAAGGCCTTTATTCATAAGAGAGTCTGGATTAACAGAGAATGCTGAGGTTTGGGTTAAAACTGCATTATGTTGGCTTTTACTTAGAGTTCTGTTCTAGACAAGTATTGCACAGTGTGAAGGAGAGAAAGAAAAGCTTACAGCTTCACACCACCCATGTACCCCCTTGCTATATTTTATGCTGTTAGTAGTTGTACATTGATGGCCTGTCTTCAAATCACCTCAATAGCTGGGAAAGAAGACCTAGTGTAACATCGTCTCTTTTCTTACTTTTACAGACCAAAATCTGACCAGTAGGCTAAAAGGAGTGCCTGAGAGGTTTCCAGACGCTGCCTGTTAGCAGCTGTGCATCAGATGCATGAGAAGAATATTCTTAGAAAGGGTCTGCAGATGCTGGTATCCGTGTCAGAAATTGCTGACAAAGAAGGAGGCAGCTGGTGGAAGTGTTTACTTCCTGGTTTATTTGGGCTTTTTTCTTAGTACGTTTCACTTCTTAACTTTCAAAGGCAGTTTTTGTTGTCAAACACAAGGATTACAGTGGTTGGTTGCCCTCCAGAGTCCCTGTCAACATTGTTGCAAGTGTGATGAAATATTTGCAATTTGTGTATAGATAGATAGATACCTATACACTAAAATATTTTGGGTACAGGAGGGTTTCGAAGACAAACAGAACTAACATAAATCAAAACACCTAAATAATAATAATGACCTGTGATGGTTATTTAGTTGATCCTGAGCTCTGTTTTATAGGGAAAAGTTTATCATTACTTGTTCAGTGTACAATTTCCTTTTTCAGTCAAAATACTCAACTGTGAAGAAGCGTTTTTAGCTTACTGTTATACAATAATAAATGGTTTCTGTTGACAGTCAGATGATTTTAATCACATTACTGCCTCCTGAGTAAGTCTACAGAATCAACAATTTATCTTACATTGAAATTTCTTGGAGAGGTCAAATATTTTGACTTGATAGTGTCATGGCAGCATCTCAAAAAGCAACTGTAGGGTTCTTGCAGATGTAGTCTCCTTGCAGATGTATTTGTTAGATGTAGAAACCAGCTTCAAACCAAAATTTTATTTGTCAGATCTTATGTTTAGAACTATCCTTAACATTTTGGCTGACTTGCTTCTTTCGTACAGGAAGAAGGAAAAATTATACCCCATGTTTTTTGGTCCAGTTAGAACTCAATTTTATAGAATAGGGTTTTTTAATGTTCTTAGTCCCTAAATTGCAGGGTAACTTTGAGGCAAAGGATCACAGCCTAATCATTCTTTAAAACCATGATCTAGAAGTATGGTGTTACATTTCTATAAGCCATTTGGAAGGACGTCTCTTTTTAACTAAAGAGATACTAGCAGCTGGAAATCTGCTTGGTTTAAAAAAAAAAAGTTAGAGTTTGTTCCAAAGGGCACAGCTAGGTCAGCCTTGCCAGTATTTGTGGTTCTGTAATAGTATTTTCCTTATTCTTTAATGTCTTCTTTATTCCTTGCTGCTACAGCAAAGACCCAAAACGTCAGAGGAGCTGATGCAGAAGTTCACTTATACACAAGACAGTTTGCACAAGGTACCACATCAGCTCCACTAAAACTCTGGAAATAATGCTGAAGTGGGATTTAAGTGGTGCTTACACCAAATACTGGCCCTCCACACAAGAATGAAATTAATCTCAAATTACTGCAGGGGAAAGACTGAAGCTGGTTATGGACAGTTCTCCCTATGGGCAGTACACACACTGGTACAATTTCTTCTCTAGCGCTGGAGCTTGGGTGCTACATGTTACAGGAACATCACAAACACAAGGTCTGAGTTGTCAGTGATCCTTCAACAGCTGCCCAGTGCAGCCCAACACACAGGCAAAAGTCTCCTGGCCGAATTGTTTGGGTTTCAAAGGAGCTGTTGCAAAGTTTTCATTTTATTTCACAAACTTAATTAAGTGAATCTCAGTGGATAGACTGACCAATTAGCTGTTGTCATAGGGGACTCACCCACAGCACAGCAGAGCAAGCAGGGTCTGTGGAGGAGTGATGGAAGAGGTGAAGCTCCCAGCTGATAATGAAAGAGGTCCTTTGCCCAGCAAAATGATTACAGGGAGCTGTACTCAAAGGGGCATCACACAGATGGTAACTGAGACCCTGCCCATATTTCTAGGAGTCAATGAAGGATTTCAGAGAGGGATCACACATATATGTGCATGCTCTTTTCCTAAGTATTTCATACTATATGTGGTGCCTTGGGTCCATGAGTGGCGACTGGCAGAGGCAGGGTGAGATATTTTTTTGTATCATACTGTGGTCTTTCACGAGGTGTCCTAGCAAATCCAGGTCAGGAGTCTTTCTCTTTTATGCTTTTATATACTTAATACGCTTTTTTTTTCCCAGTTCTACCTGCAGTTTCACTCACGAAAGATGTTTTTCCATCCCTGTCCTTAGGTGTTCTGCAGCTCTGAGCACTGTTAAGCGATAATGAGTACAATGCTAAGTTACAGGTCACTGAAGCCATAACTTAGGAAAGCACTTAAGTAAATGTTTTATTCCGTCCTTCTTCAGAAGAGCACTTACGACTAATTTTGGACTTGTACCAAAATCACATTATTTTCAACAGGTCTTCTATTAACATAATTAAGTCCCTGTGTCAAATGGAAATGTTTTCCTAAAGCAGGACCTGGCTGACAATACTCTTTATATATATAACCTGTGAAATGCCTTGGGAATTTGAGGTGCTTCATAAATATTAAGACCACCAAATGTGTGTTTGTAATAGGTATGAAAGCCTTAACTCTGCAGATCTGCATGCCCAGGCACCAGAGACACAGCACTGCCTGTCCAGAAGGGACAGCAGCCTTTAGCATGCAGACAGGACAGAAAACAAAACAAGAAAATCCTCTGGTGCCCTCTGATGAACAAGTGTTCATGCACAGAATTCTGCAGGCTCACACCATCCGTAGGCAGAGGGGCACCTCCTGCACAGGGCTGGGGGACACTGCAGCTCTCTGAGAAAGGCACTTTGTCATTAAGCTGATCTTGTGTTTCTCTGAGCTCTTTCTGTTTGTCACGTGAGGCTCTTTTCCATGAGGTGGGAGAAGCATTCACCTTAGGGAGGCTCATCTCCACTTGGGCTGCGCTGCAGGATGGAACCTGGGACAGAGAGAGATTGCGCTCTGAGTATCCTTTGATTTTCATGGATTTCACTAAATTGCCTCCCCAAAGGTCTGCTCAATAGGTAGGATGCATAAAAAGTTATATGGGCAGAATTTTGCAATCAAAAATGACCTAATGTGTGCGTGCAGATGTGCAAGGCACCAGCTCTGTATCCCTTCCCTACGTTGACCCATTCTGGTGGAGATACAGATCTGGCACTTGCTGAGGTTTTTGGATTGTTTTTTTTCTTTTTATTTTCTGAATGCTTCAGAGCCTAAAAACAAAGGTCAGGACAATCATAGCACTGCAGTTAATTTTTTAAACGTTCTGTAGAATTAAATTGCCATGTATGCATATAAAAGTACATTGATATGATGGTGAAAACTGTATTGTATTGAAAACAGAAACAGCTGCCAGTTTTAGACTTCGTAGATGAGGAAGATTGTGGCACTGAAGAAAAAGGCTTTATAGAGGCAATTTGGAAAAAAAAACAAATTATTGAAATCTCATAAGAGATCCCTTGGATCTCATTAATGACCCTTGGATCAGATCCAGAGGAAGTCATTGCAAAAATGGTAGCACTTCATCTCTTGTCAAATGACTTGTTTGGGATACATTCTTACTTGGTTAACAAACCCAAGCACCAGAGACAGATCCAGCTGTGAATTTAATCTTTCTTAAAGAATATGCATTTTGTGACCCAAAGATTTTGTTGTCAAACCTGTCAACCCACCCTCATTTCCCCCTTGCTAAATAAAAAGAAATGCTTGTCCAATTTGAAAAATGTCTAGCTCAGAAGACCTTTGCATATGGATGGGTTCCCCTGGCAGGGATCTGCACAACATTTAATACTTCTATGTACTTTAAATCATCAGTACAACTTACTTACAGATTTTTTCCATAAAGTGTGTTTTATTTGCTGTTCTTGTTAAACCTGGAATGAAGTCATTGTATAGACTTCCCAGAGTTTTGCCTTGCAAACTTCTTCCTTTGAATATGTTCCACAACCCTTTGAGTGGATTCTGTGATTAAAAGACAAAGATTGGGGCACGAGTCTTTACACATAAACCTCTGGACTGCAAGTCCTCCTTGTGACAATTGGTCTGTACTGAAATTACAATAGAGGTTATGTGTAACAGCGGGAAATGCCTTTCAGCCCAGGCAGCTGGGAGACTCCCAGGCTTTTTAAGAGGCTTGTTCCTTTGTGGTCTCTGTCCATAGAAGAGCTCATGATGAAGCGTATGGTTTGAAGTAAAGAATAGGAATTTATAGTCTGTGCAAACCAAGAAAAACTATTTCTATTCATTAGCAATAATGGACTTTTTTTTAACCATTAGTTATTCTCATAGATCCTTGTTGTAGGGTCAAAGTTACCAGTCAGTTAGGAATATGGGCCAGGACAAGCTGACTCTCTGAACAGAAGAGGGTGGGCTCCTTTTGCCTTTGGGATGCATCCAATTCACAGGAGTGAAATGGCAGAGAAATCCATCCCCTCTCACAAACATCTGCTCCAGTGTGAGCCTTTGCTGCAGGGGAAGGAAATGGTGGT